ATTCCTTACTCATGGTTATTTACAGGATCATTAGTCAACATCATGATCCTTCAGTTTCTCTTCTATTTTTTTCAAAGCACTTCCCCACTTTTTTTTAGAACAGGGAAAATAAGGTATTGTATTACAACAGGAGAAAATGTGTTTTTTCTTCTAGCATGTTTTTGCTATTCTGTACCTAGAAGTTGTGTAGCACAAAAAAAAAAAAAAAAAAAGGAAAGGGGGAGCTTTTGAATAGGACTTGGATTCCAGTGCTGCCATGAAACTGAAAGTAGATACTGTGATTAACAGCCTTGTGTAGAGAAACTCTGCCTTTGTTGCCCAATGAATATTTATTAATTCATGGGCTCTCCTCATTAATTTTGCAGCTAGCCTCCACTGGAGGCTCTTCATTAGCTCCCACCTATGACTGTATTTGTCAGCCCTTTAGCGCTACCTCAAGAGCACAGTTCTAACTAGGCTTGAGAGGGGAAAAGGGCCTGGCTGCAGGCATCTAAGCCTGTAAAGTGGCCTTAGATAGAAACGTGGTAGATGTGCCGGTGGCACCAGACGTCCCCTGTAACAGAGCAGGAAAATGCATTTGTTCCCTCCCACAGCATTTATTCATTGTTAGCTGTGACTTAAAACACGTATGGTATGATCACATAGCTGAGGTTTTTCTCCTTTGAAGTTCATGACATTGAATGATGCAGAGCTATGATTAGATTAATTACCTCAGTGTAAGTACATGCAGTCCTAATTCAGATAGGGACCATGGTGCTATTGGAGGGAGGGATTTCAGCTTTTGGCTGTCCCATTTTCATCCCAGATTTCCATGCATTCCCATGGCGTGGAATCTTTGCTACAGATTAGACCGAAACATAGTATTAGTTGCAGATATTATTTTCTAGGAATAATAAAGTGTGTTCATCTGTATTCAGATCTGGAAAGAAAGCAAGTATGTTGTTGCTGCTGCTGCTGCGGTCTAAATTCCGAGGAGGCATTGCATCCACGGATTCCATAGTGCAGAAGAAAAGTGAAAACAGTTAAACATTGTATTCAGGATATATCAGGTCAATATTGCATTTCTTTTTAACTTCCTTGCATATGGATTTGTGTGTGTGTCATGCTGGTAGTATTTCTCTACCATTGGACTACCATTCAATGATTAATGTGAACCGGGAGACAAGGCAATGTGTTTGCAGTACAAATGACCTGCACAGCTTATGGCACAATTATGTATCGCGGCTGGCCAGAGGCTAGATAATCCTCTTCTTTTGCTTTCCAGACTCTAAAACAATCATTTGACAAAAACTGGCAGGCCATAGCTCAAGATTATCAGATTGCATTTGGTTTGTTTGGTCACTGGTTGTGGTCTCCCTGGTCATTTTTGTGGCTGCCACCACCACCACTACCAAATCTACTGCTTAAATTTGACAGTACAGCAGCAGCAGCAAGTGTTTATTGCAAACCCTATGTGCAATCAAGCATAGACAAAGCAGTCCCATTTAAATTCCACACTGCCATATTGATCACTGTGGTACAGTGGGCTCCAGAGGGAAAACTGGTCCCTTGACCCCTGAAAATTGACCTCCCCTGTGACAGAGAGACATCCTGAAAAGGAAGGTCATAAACCATGTAGTTTCATTAACTATAGAGGGCCAAAGCAGTGAACTGCCTACCCTCTAAGGAATAAAAAAGGAAAAATGCATTTTTTTCAAGTTCGCGAAATGGTGCGAATGGTTGAGCTTGTATGGATCTTCACTGAGGATGCCACTGAGTAATTGGTGCACATAGCAAGGTGAATTCACATTTTCCCACAAGTAGCAAATTAGCAAACTGTGGTTTGATCTCCAGTATCTCAGCAACAGAAGGGCTACCTTCAGGAAAGACAGCTGGATCCTCTAGATCAGATAAGTAAAAGCTGCGTATCTGTAGTGCTATAAACTGACCATCAACAAAGGTTTTGACACTTCCTGGGCTTTCTCTACTACCTATGGTAGTAGCAGCTTTTAAGATAGAAGCAAAAGTATTTAGTTCTAAAAATGGGAAATTTCTTGAGAACATGAATGTAAAGTTTAAAAGTTCAGTTTTTCAGGACTTTTGTTTTGATTACTTCCTGAGATTTTACTGCCATCTAATATGCCACTCTACTTCCATGTGTTCAGCAGTGGAAAAAATGGCTGATCTAATTAAAGCAATACCTTTTGCAATCCCAAGGGATTAAAGATGGGATGGGTATAGTGTTATTTGTTGGCCATAGCTAGGTCTGTAAGACCAAAACATATTTCGAATAGTTGCTCAATACCTATTAATAGAATAGATTAGTCAGAAGCAGCAGTTTGTCCTCTCAACATGTGGAAACAGAACGAAGTCTCAAGAAAGGTGGCCACCTAATACAAAAGGCATCTACAATTTCATCTGTTCTGCTTCTTTTGCTTTGTAGGACCTTTACCATATTTCTAGAGGTTGTTTTCTTCATGAATTCATAGGAAATGATACTATATCTTCAACTCATATATAGACATACATTTCTTAATGTATATGTGGAAGATGACAACTATCCCCAAAACTCATAAAAACACGTGATATACACACGTGAGTGTGTGTATGCACATGCACATATGCATACCCATCTGCTTGTTCAATAGATCAGCAATAACAGCAATTAAAAGATGTTTCATGTATTGGGGCAGTCTGTTAAGCTACTGTGTATTTGACAGCCAATTTCTATGCATTGCAGAAGCCACAAGTGGAAATGACTGTCACTTGCACAGAGAAATTGCAGCTTGTTATCTCATGTCACTATTGAAAGTACTTCATGTTCTAAGAATTCTTAAAGGCCTTCATAATGTAATATAACATTCTACAAGAATGTGGCAATAATATTTTTTATTGTTGCTGTTTTAATTATCCTGTTCTATCCCTTAGCCTTAGGTTTGGTAATAAAAATAAAGCATGAAATTAAGCCATGCAAAAAAGGTGATATATAAACATAGCTAACTCTGCAATCCTGTGCATATCCATTCAAAAGTGTGTCACTGAACTCGAGGGACCAACAATGAATGCACTGGGACTTCCTTCTGAGTAGACTCGCATAGGATTCTGAGTAGATGTGTATATCCTGATCCTTCCCAACTCCTGTTCAAAACAATTTCATTTAGGTCTCTCTATCAGTGTTTCCAGATGAAGCTTTTATTGTGCAATTGCCAAGCCTCATTTACAAAATTTTATAGGGATACTAGATGTTGTTATCTTCCATTTGTAACCCTCTTTGTTTTCTCACCTTTTTTTCTTATTACCAAAAAACCCATTAAGGAAGGAAAGAACCTTCTGTCTGGAGGTGATGGTGGAGTTAATGGGAAAGCACTGAACAAGAAATAAATTCTAACAGATGCATCATGCAGGCAACTCCATTTTTATACTGGTTAACTTCCCATACAAGCTTATCCCTAACAACTAGTTTGTCTGAATATTGAACTGTATTTGTGCCATCAGCTGGGCATGAAACAATTGCAATAAGTATTGGAGCGTTGAATAACCAAGCCTTGCAAAGTTTCTGCAGTGATAAATTATGTAACTGTGCAACTCCTGTAGCTATGGAAGTTGACTCAGGTTCCACAGAACAGATAAGGGTAAAAATAGATATAATGAAAGTGAGAACAATAGCATAAATAAAATATGCAAGAGGTCTCCCACAACTGACATATGTCAGAGGAAGAAGTCTTTATGAATCCATAGTAATCTAATTTTCCATGAATTCTATTAATAGTGTGATTATCAATTTCAAATTAAAACATAGGTTTTAAAAAGCAGACCTTCCGTGTTACCCTTGAAAAGGTATGCAAGATAACCTTCTGCTTTATTATACATAGTCTTTTGGGCAAAATCAAAGGACCTGGTGTCCTTATAGGAGCGGTGTGCTCAATACTGATTTTTCAGCATCCTACCCCTTAGAGACTCTCCACACAAGGATAGAGGATGCTCTTCTCTTCAGCCCATCATGCTCCCTGCACACAGGGCAATGGAAACATAAACCGCGGGTGTGGGACTAGAGCACTTCCTTCCCTTGCATGTTGACTTCCTACAGAGAATAACTGCCTGAACTGGACTAGCATGTATGTATCACTACAACTACCCAATAGCAGATGAGGCAGATAACAGTTACATATTGAGTATGCTATAAGGGAGGGATGCAGAAGTTCAGGCCCAGCAACTGAATCTCACCCACTGGGGGCTCAATCTAACCCTCTGATCCTCTAGGCCTAGTCCTCTAGGCTTTCTGCTAGTGGAAAATTCCATGGTTTTTGTGTATTTTTCCCTAATGAAAAGTTGAAAGACTTAATTATTGGCTTTATGGCGATTATGTGGATATGTTGGGGTATTTTTGTCCCTGCCTCTTTTGCCTTAGGCTCCACCTACTACTGGATTGCGGCCTCAAGAACTCCAGTGTGGAATTTGGCCTTAGGGGTACGACCCTATCCCTAGCAAAGACTAGGGTGGTTCATGGGAGCAGGGCATGGGACTGGGGGCTGTATGCTGGCGCCATTCCCATGGGATCAGAGAACCATGGAACTCAAGGCAGGATCTGCTTATGCTCCAGCAAAATTTCCACTTGACAATGGGTCACCCAGCATCCAGGCTGGCATGCAGGTTGCAGAGCAGGTGGGCCTCCCAGTTAAGGGATCCTTCCATGCACTACAAAAATTCTAAGCTGTAAGTAATAAAGCTGTGTCCACATAAAAACCCATCATCACTGTCTCTGCATATTTTATGGCTGACTTTCCTGGAATGGCTATGCAGTTGGATGCTCCAGGTGCAAGACAGATCTGTCTTGTATTTGCCAAATAGTGAGGCTAAACATTGATAGGACAGCAATATCTCAATCAGTATTATACTTCAGATAAAACACTGATAGACACTGGGTTTCCAGATCCTGTATTGAAACTTCTTAATATTTTCTCAGTTGACTTTTAATAGCTGTTCGTTATCTTTTCTCACACTTTTGCCTATTATGATTGCAGACATTTACCGCCTGGTGCAATTCCCACCTACGAAAAGCAGGCACACAGATTGAGAACATTGAAGAGGATTTCAGGAATGGCCTTAAACTGATGTTGCTTTTGGAAGTCATTTCAGGTTTGTTTAAAAACAGCAAATGCCATATCAGTATATTTATAACTCTGTGCTTTCATATTTCAGAAGCTATTTAATACTCATTCAGGCTGTGAAACCTTCTTATCTTGGGGCCGTACTAGACATTACTTGTGGCTAGCAATCACATCTATTTTTTATTTTAAATTTTAATTTAAAAATATCCTGCACTCTACAGAAAGATTAGTTTTAACGCTTTCCTTCTCAACTACAATCCTGGAAAATATTCTCTCTGCAAGGCAGTGAGCTTTCAAAAATATTTCCACTGATATTCATGGAAGCTTTTTTTCCCCCTAAGGCAAATTGCTGTGTAGGGAGAGATTTGTAATTGGGGTGGCAGATGGGAAGGAAGCAGTTAAACTTCTCCTTCCTGCGCACTGCAACTGTAATTAAAGGAGGGAAGCTTTGTTCTCACTGATGCCAAAGAGATCTCTTTTTCTAAAACTAATTGCTGTGCAGAAGTGGGTGGGCATGATTTTCTTTGTGATTGCAGCTGGGAAAGAAACAGTTAAATTCCCCCTCTTGCACGCTGCAGTCCTGATTAAACTCTGGAAGATGGGAGTGTCCTGGGACTTTGCCCAGTATTAAATTTCTTTTAAAAATCAGGCTTGGTTGTTAACCACACAGTAGAAGTAATATCTGAAGCTGATAATAGCATAGGCCAGGAACCCATATAAAACATTATACAAAAAAAGATTGATCACTAAATGCCTGTTACATACACTGCTGCCTCGCCCTTAAGCGTTCTGCCAGGCCTTTGCTAGTATGTGATTACAGAACATGGGTGCCTGAATCTGCTCGCTCTCGCTCTCTCGCTCTCTCTTTCTGCTTCTGGAAATGGATAATAGGTAAACAGAACTATATACCTGCAACACAAGGAAGGGTATCATTAGAGTGTGGAAAAAATAGAGGTAAAGCACCATCCCGCTCAGCAGCATCCATGTTTCTATGTATTTCTTCTAAATTCCTTTTTCCCTGGTTGTTCTCTTTTGACGAACTCTTATGTTTTTACTTAGTGAAGCGTGCAATCTTATGCACACTTACTTATGAACAGATGCCACTGAACTTAGTTGAATTACTGAACTGTCCTTGCTGATGTATAAGATTGGGCTACAGAAGATATCATTTTCTGCATTATTAAATCTTGATAGTCCCATGAAAATCCTTGAAAATCATTAGGAATTTAATCATGATAAATCTTGTAACTAGCTAATAGGAGAATATGATGTATATTTTTGTCATTCATGTTCAAGAAGGATGGATTCAGATAATTATAAGAGTGAACAACAGCAGCAAGGCTGGGGAACAACTTCCCTAGGGTGGAATGAAAGAGTTTGGTCTGAAGTTAACAGGGGAAACAGCTGTGGGAGTACTTTATTTTATCAAGGAGTGTTTTTTAGGCCTGGAGAAAACAATTGTTTTAAAAACTGATTGTATAGATGCAGTTATTAATAAAACTAGCATTGAACTAGCATTTGCCCTCCCGCCCCTTGAGATGGGCAGCAGAGGCTGTCCTCCGGGAGCCTTCCATGAGAGATATCAAGAAGCAAAGTATCCAGAGGAGGGCTTTCTCTGCAGTGGCGCCCCATCTGTGGAATGCGCTCCCCAAAGAGGTCTGCCTGGTACCATCGTTATTTGTTTTTCTGCGCCAGGCCAAGACCTTTTTATTCAAACAGTATTTTAATAATGTTTAATATTTATAGATTTTATTTGTGCAGCCAGTGTGTTTCCAGGTTTTAATTGTAATTGTTATTATGTTTGTTTATTTCTGTAAGCTGTCCCAAGGCTATGTAGCAAGGGGACGGCATATAAAAACTTCAAATAAATAAATAAATAATAAAAAGTAGAAGAACTAACATGATCCATCTAAAGTTAAGCAAGCCCTCTCTAAGATAAAATCCATTGTTTTCCCATGGGATTTATTCCCAGATTATCACAAGATTGCAGCCCTTGAATTCCACTTATTTTACTTGCACAATTAAAAATGTGGTTAGGCATCGACTTGCTACAGTGCACCAGTCTGGATTCTGCAGATTAATCCACAGGTGTTGTGTAAGATAATTATGCCTCAGAGCTGGAAATCAGGTATGCTATTGATGGATGTTATCCCAGCACTGCCATTATATGATGAACTATGCATCAGAACCAGTGTGCTTTATTTGTATTGCAAAAATTCTCCAGAAAATTGGTCTAGCTAGACCAGTGTTGTTGAAGCTGGCTGGCAACAGCCCTCCAAGTTTTCAGGCAGAAGTTTTCCCTGCTCTACCAAGTAATGCCGGGGATCAAACCTTTGGCATGTAAAGTGGGTGCTTTTCCACTGAATTATGATGTTAACAAGTAAGTGGAATAACGCATAAATTCTTTGATATGTTTTAGACAGATCTAACAATTTAAATTGAAGTTTTCTGCTTCACCAAAAACCTCAAATCACTTTTATACTTGTATATTTCCTCTTGAAAATGGGGTCTGAAGCTATGAGAAAGCTAGTGTTTGGTTTAGTAGTATGAAGCATATTTGTATCCCCAGTCTGGCCACAGCCAATGTTCCTGCAGCCAGATGTCAATGCTAAATACATATTCCACTTGGTTTTTTGCAGGGGAAAGACTTCCGAAACCGGACAGAGGGAAGATGCGTTTCCATAAAATTGCAAATGTCAACAAAGCCCTAGATTTTATAGCCAGCAAAGGTGTCAAGCTTGTCTCCATTGGTGCAGAAGGTATGTAAAGATGCTGATGGCAAAGCTTGACTTTCAACCCTAACGCAGTACATTTCAGAGAGCTAGTTTGGTTCATTATGCAGGCACAGTCTCTTTATATGCATTTCAGATTCTGATTCCTCTCAAACTGTCACCAATCTGTGTCAAACATCTGGCTAGCCCAGGTAATCCCCTGCGTGGATTCAAAATGATTTTAAACAGAAGAGAAAATGGATGGCAAAGCCTTGGTATCAGTCATTGGGATCAGTTCATAATCTATTATATCTGAAGCAAACAGAAATTCGAATAAAGTAGTAAAACACAGGTGTGTGGCCTAATCCAGAATTAAATATGATGCATATCGTGTGCAACCTAAAATTATGCCTATGTGGTATTCCATGGAGCTGGTTTCATATTGAAAGGTGTAGAAACTGGGTTTACTGCTTATGAGTATGGTGTGCTAACACTCCAGCTATAGCTGAGGTTACCCAATTTAAACACGAAATCAGCTGCGTAAGTGCATGCATGCGTGTGGTAAAAATAAGTTTGGCATAACATTTAAACAAGAATTGGTGTTGAATCATTCAAAGAATATAAGATATTAAATAAGGCACACAACAGACATCACTTGAAGAAGCAATCTTATGCTATTTTAGTTGGTAAAAAAAGTCCTAGCATGCTCCTAGTTGTAGGACTTTCCCTTGTCTAAACATGCATAGAATTGTATCCTAAATGTTTGTCTAGCAGCTATTTAGAAAAACCTTCTAAACTAGGTTCAGGGCCCTGATATGGATTAGTACTCTAGAGTGGTGGGGTGAAGGAGAGATTTTAAGATCTGCATAATATATAAAACTATATTTAATTATATATATAAAATTGTATATTATATATAAATGTAATTTAATTATAATTATAGTGGGTGTATCCTCTGTGGCTACAGCATGTTGTATAAACTATTCATTTTGTTTCACTCTAGAAATTGTAGATGGCAATGTGAAAATGACCCTGGGCATGATCTGGACAATCATTCTTCGTTTTGCTATTCAAGATATTTCAGTAGAAGGTAAGAACATGCTCCAACATTCTGTCTCACATATTTTTGTCAAGAAGTACTAACCTGAGCTGTCTGGCCATTAAGCAAATTTTAGGATGACAACATTGGATGAGTTAACACATTATGCTAAGCCACCCTATGAATAAGCTACCATGGGTCAGTTGGTTGCTAAATAAACCATGGTATACTTGATAGATGATTGAACTTGCTGTGGGTTATGCTACACATATCAGTCAGTCAAAGGAATACATTTGTGAAAAAGAATAATAATATGATCCTTAATTGCACAACTCTGAGGAACCATTATTTTTTTTACAAAAGCTGGGGAATAAGAGATGGTCCCTCCAAAATGCTGTTTCAACATCTATGGAAGGGCAGGCACTGGTGAAATCATGAAAAGTGAGCACCATGGGTTTTTTTGCTACTCTTTCCAAGCAGCTCTGTAACCAATTCCCATAACCCATGATAATATTAGTCTCCTGGCTTCCCATTGTTGGGAAGAACAACCATATAACAAGCCATGGGTTCTTAGCATGGCTTGTTCCCCCAAAATAAGCCATCCTGTGGGAAACTCTTCCAGGTCAGAAGCTATGACAACTTCCTGTGACTACTTGCCTAGCATGAATTCTTGTGCCATGCAACTGAGGTCAATGAGTGTTCATGAGGCTTTCAGTTTTATAGCAGTTGGCATGCTTCTCAGTAAGCATTTTGGAGATCAGCCTGTTTTGGCTGCTCTGATTTCTTCCTTCTGTATTCTCTTAGCTGAAATACAGTAACATAAAGGCACTGGCAACTTTAAAGACTCGGCTCCATTTCCCTTGTATATCCAACTTCAGCACCAAAGAAGGAGTGATCAGTCAGAAACATGTGCAACAACCCTTCTGGGTTTTTGATCTCAATAGGAAGATGTGTGTGTGTGTGTGTGTGTGTGAGGGATCTATACTGAATACTGTCATCTGGAATACTTTGTCCAGTTCTGGGCACCAAGATTTAAGAAAGATGAAGAAAAATTGGAAAGAGTCCAGAGAAGGGCAACAAAAATCATCCAGGGTTTGCAAACACTGTTCTATGAAGAGAGACTGAGAGAACTGGGCATGTTCAGCCTTGAGAAAAGAAGACTGATGGGGGACATGATATCACTCTATAAGTACTTCAAAGGCTGTCACAAAAAGGAAGGTCAAGATCTCTTCTCACTCATAGCTGAGTACAGTACACAGAATAATAAGTTCAACTTGTGACAACCTAGAATCAGGCTAGATATCAAGAGAAACTTCCTCACTATCAGAACCAGCTGCCTAGAGAAGTGGTGGGCTCTCCCTCACCAGAGACATTATACCATCTGAGTGGAATGGTATAGATTGGTGTCCTGCAACAGCAGGGGGTTGGACCCAATGGCCTACATGGCCCCTTCCAAATCTACTATTCTATGAGTTCTAAAACCCTTTCTGGCATGCTGTATTTGCGTTGGCAAGAAGTGTTTACATGGTGGAGGATCCACCCTTGCAGTCTCCCTCTTGCACTCTGGCCTGGTACAGTCCAAGAGAGAACTGTATCAGGTGAGTCTTCCATGTCATGTGACTCTTTAAATGAATTAAACTGTTTTTACAACGAAAATGTGTTAATGAATTATATGAAGATGTGTGTGACTGATTCTATCAAAATCTCAGTATGCTGCATTCACTTGTCATGATGGTGCCCAACCTTCTCTGAAAGAACATGAACTCTGTGGTGGCTTGGCTTTTAGAACTTGTCAGCTGTCTGCTCAAAATGGTTGCTTGAATCCACTCTCAGGCTGAGGTGATTAGAATCAATGAAATAATGAAAAAGCAGGCACGAGGCTGATGCAATGAAGTCAGTTCATGTATACAATAATGTTTAAGTGTCCTTCATCTCTGAAACAGAGAAAGAGTTTGGTACATAGCTCAACAAGTCATAGTCTGACAATGCCCAGAATGGGCAGATAACTGGCCAACATACAAGCTTAATGAGTCATATTATGACCTTGAGGCATTAAGAGGACATGAGAAGGAATCGGATCTCAAAGGGCACTGCAGAATCCCTAAGAAATATATGCATTTGCCTGAGATTCATGTTCAGTAAAAAGTATTCAAGGCTGGCTTATTGAGCTTATGAAGTATAAGCGCGCTCTCTCTCTCTCTCTCTCTCTCCCTCCCTCTCTCCCCCCCCCACTCCTTCTCCCTCCTCTAATGGTGCAATCCCATGCAAATTTTGACAGAAAAAGGCTTTAAATTTTCTGTGTAAATTTGCATAGGATTTAGCCCTAATTGAAACAGCTTATATTGTTCCATACTCTATGGAAACATAATAGCTTGAAATCGTAAAGTTATTTCTTGAGTGGTTTCTGATGTAGACACTGAAACTTAAAAAGAAAAACCCTTTAACAGCAAAGGCTTTTTTCCCCTTTTGGAAACATAAAATAACTTATTCAATATTTAAATCAAGTATTTGGGCAGCTGAAGATTTATTCCCAAACTCTGAATGTCTGCATTTCACTTGAGCAAACAGATGTCCTTCATTATGTAGTACAATATATAACAAATTAACTGTTTCCTGCACTTCATTTGTTGATTTAGAGAATAACTATTCTTGACAAATTTATTTTACCCTCATTGTACTGTAGTAATTAAAGCAATCTTTGGGAAAGATATAAATCAGACATTTCTATAGCATCTCTAAATATGAATGGTGCGTTTACAGATTTCCAACAGAGATCTTTGTTCAGCAAATATTAGGAAACATAAAACTTAGGAGCCCTGATAGTTCAGAGCTTAAATGCACAGTTCTTTGGGGGATGCATCCAGTAAAGATACATCCCAAAGCAGTTTTGAAGTGTATATCTATGCATCCAGTTTATCTTCATCCCCAACAGTCCTTCTTTCAACATACTTCCATGCTTCTCCCTGCAACTTTCTCCATAAATTCATACTATACATTGATGGTAATCAAAAGACATGCACCGACCATTTTGTCTGCATGGATATATTGATTGGGAAGTTGACAGGAAAGTACCCCATTTTCTGATATGCTTGTTATTTTATTTCTTGTATTTCTGGATTAAGACAGAAGCACTGAAGCAAAAATGAGGGAAGTGAGTCTCTAGATGCATCCTTGGATCATATACAGTTGAGTTGTATAGTGGTTTAACTGCCATGGCCTCCCACAAATAGTTAGGAGATGACAAATGAAGTAAGTGAACTGATTATAAGCATCTGGTGTTCCTAACATCTAGTGCTCAAGCATCATGGGCCTCCTATAGTTGGAATCAGCTTTTGGGAAAAGAAGGGAAGGAGGGGAAGTTTCCACTTGAATTCAACTCTTTACATAGGCAGATGCTTCCCCCATATCTCAAAGAGAATGCTGCTTTGATTTCTACTGTTCTTTAATCTGTTAAGTTTTAGTAAAAGAACTGTGCTTCTAAAATTTGCTTAGAGTCTGCTAGGAAATAAAAGAGAAAGGGAGAGACCTGCTCTTAACCATAGCTCCCTATTTTATTCAAACAAAGAAACTATGGTTAATGACTTAGGTATCCATGATCTGAAGCTGGCTTGAGATCCTGGCTGGTCCTGAAGACGTTAACCTCAGGTCAGGACAAATAGGAAACTGAAGTTAGTTGAAGAGTTCTGGTTTATTCCCACATAATGGGAGGAATGAAGGGGCTATATGCTTGTTCACTAGTGCTGGCTCCAGGCTTTGGACAGCTCTTGGGCAATACATATTCAATTAACTCAGCTGCCTCAGTGAATCTATCTTCTCAGTATCATGGTACAGACCATTTAGCCTTACATCCATTGTAGGAAAAACAACGGAAAGGCTCATAATAGAGAGAGATCTAGTGATGCTAGATAGGGAAGGGAGGCTGACAGCCACACAACACGGCTTCCGCAAAAACAGGTCCTGCCAGACAAACCTTGTGGAATTCTATGACAAGTTTTCGAGATGGCTAGAAGGAGGGGATGCAGAGGATGTGATTTACCTGGATTTCAGCAAGGCCTTTGACAAAGTGCCCCATGATATCCTGGTTGAGAAGCTGAGGAGTTTTGAGATACACCAAGCACTGTCCGATGGATTAGGGCATGGTTGACTGACCAAAAGCAGAGGGTAACCATTAGTGGGGAATCATCGGGATGACGGCCAGTGACAAGTGGGGTCCCCCAGGGTTCTGTCTTTGGGCTGATCCTGTTTAATCTTTTCATAAATGACATGGAAGAAGGGGTGAACAGTCTGCTGATCAAATTCGCAGATGATACTAAAACTGGAGCAGTAGCCACAACTGAGGAGCAGGTACTCCAGATCCAAAAGGATCTGGACAGACTATGGAAGTGGGCAGGAGACAACAGGATGTTGTTCAATGTGGAGAAGTGCAAGGTCTTGCACATGGGGCATAGGAATAGGTGTCATAAGTACAGGTTAGGGGACAAGTGGCTGGAGAGCAGCACTTGTGAAAGGGACCTCAGGGTACTGGTTGACTGCAGGCTAAACATGAGTCAGCAGTGTTATGCAGTGGTCAAGAGGGTGAACGCCACCCTTGGTTGCATAGCCAGAAGTGTGGTTTCTAGATCGAGAGAGGTATTACTACCACTCTATACAACTCTGGAGCACCCGCAACTGGAGTATTGTGCTCAGTTTTGGGCCCCTCATTATAGAAAGGATATAGCCAGGTTAGAGTCAGTGCAGCGTAGGGCCACAAGATCCCCCAGTTTGCAGGGGATGGGGTATGAGGCGAGACTGAGGGAACTGGGTCTCTTCAGCCTGGAGAAGAGGCGACTCGGAGGGGATATGTTGGCAACATACAGGTATGTGAGGGGATGTCACATGGAGATGGGTAGTGACCTGTTCTCCCCTGCAGAGGAAGGCAGGATGCGCTCAAACGGAGCAAAGTTCAGGGAACCAAGGATCCATTTGGATACCAGGAAGCACATCCTGATAGTTAGGACCCCGAGGGTATGGAATGGACTTCCACGAGAGGTCGTTGAGGTCCCATCGGTGAGTGTGTTCAAAGCTAGGCTGGACATGCCCATGGTGGGCATGTTGTGAGCGGAGCCGGCTGGAGCTGGAGGTCAGACTAGATGGCCCAGGAGACCCCTTCTGACTTGCTCTGTTTCTGTTTCTATGGCATTGCTGCTATTGCTCACTCCTATTTATCCTCGATCTCATCATTGCTACCACTTGCTTGCTGGACAATGGAGAGGAACTAGGCACTGATATCTCTTGCTCCTTCTCACCATTACCACTGTCTGGGCCAAAGCAAATGTCAGATGAACAAGAAGGCTACAATGGTGAAGACAAAGAACATTTCCATAGGGCTGTCCTTATGGGGGTCCTGCTGGAGCGTGGGCCCTCAGCAAGTGCCCAAACATTCCTACTTGACATTGGTCCTGGTTCTCATAAGGCTTATTCATCTCTCTTTTCATTAAGTCGGATATGAATGTCTGAACTGAGACTACTTTAAGTATTATAACTGCAGTGGTGGAAATTTGATGCTTGAAGGACCGCCTCCTTCCCTATATGCCCTCATGCCCCTTAAGATTGGCAGGGGAGGCCTTGCTCTGGGAACCCTCTTTGAAGGAGGTATGGAGGGTGTCTATCCAGAGGAGGGCCTTCTCTGCAGTGGCACCCAGATTATGGAATGCACTCTCCAGAGAGGTCCACCTGGTGCTGATTTTATACTCTTTCCGGCACCAGGTAAAGACCTTTTTATTCAACCATCATTTTAATAATTAAGGTTTTAGATGTTTTAAGATCTTTTTTCCACTGTCACATTTTCTACTCTTTTTCTCCTTCCTTCTTTTTCTTGTTTTATGAAGTTTGTTTTATACTGATTTAATATGTACTGTTTTATCATTGTATTATTGTAATATTTTAAATCATTGTAAGCCGTTCTGAGCCATTTGTCAGAATGGATGGGATATAAATGTTTGTTTGAATTAAAAATTAAATTGTAGCACTAGAACTTCCAGATGAAAGCAGGTTAAACATGCAGTTTTTATTAACATTAAAAGTAAATGTGAAATTTTGAGTTTTATACAGCAATTTTTAATTGTGAGATGAAATGTAATTCAATAAGTTATAGCACCTCAAATATAGTAATGGTTTGGGAGCCCGAATTGGGTTAATAAAATAGGAAGTAAAGAAGAACAAATTATGGCTATTTACCTAATGGGGGAATCACAATGAATATACATAATCAACATCTTCTAGCTATTCATCTAGTGTCCCTCATTCATATATATGCACAAATATATTTTGAAATAGAAATTCAGTTGCATTAAAGATATTAGTATTCAGCTATTGCACTTCATAAGAAACCACACAGTAGAAAGAGAGGGAACTGTCCACAGGAGGATGAAACATTTCTACCCAAGGACATTTTGGAGAACAGTATTTTGTGGCAAACCAGTACTACCTTTTGAATTCATCAATATAATCCTACTCAGCTGCTCTATGGCTATAGCAAGTTTGACTTGAAGGTTTGTTACCTTCCTCATATGTCTATTTTTGTGATTGTTTCAGAGACATCTGCCAAAGAAGGACTGCTGCTGTGGTGTCAAAGAAAAACTGCTCCTTACAGAAATGTGAACATTCAAAACTTCCATCTTAGGTAAAGTTAGCAACATCCAGATGTGCAAAGATCACCAGGCATTTTGCACCTGAGTTTTGCAATCAGTAATGGAGAACATCCTCGCAGTTTGACAATATGTCAATTCCTATATTATGGCTGCTGTGAAAATGACAAATTCCATATTATGCATTATTGGGAAAGAAATAAAACTGTTAGTATCATACTGCCCATATAAAAATCTATGATGCTGCTGCACTGGAATACTGTGTACTCTTCTGGTCACCAAACCTAAAAAATTACAGAATTGGAAAATGTGTAGAAAAGGGCAACTAACAATTTCTCAGGCCTGAAACAACTTCCTTGTAAGAAAAGGTTTTAACAGCTGGGATTGTTTAGCAAAAGATGGGAGAGGGGAGACATTTTTTCCTACTCTCATAATGCCAGGATTCTGTAGTCTTCCATTAGGCTGATTGGCAGGAGACTCAGGACAGATTAAAGAAAGTACTTCTTGCAAGAGATAGTTAAACTATGGGATTAACCTTTGGTGGTTATTATTCTTATTTTTCTTGTTTATTTATTACATTTCTATACTGCCCAATAAGTTCTCTGGGTAGTTCACAATAACCTATAAAATAGAACAAGGCTTTTCCAAACACCAGAACAAAAATATATTTTAGAGCTTTATTATAGTAGAGGAGGTACTTAATTATAAATTAGGTATAACTAGAATAGTGTGAAGTGATTATTGAATGAACTTTTTCTCTGGTGCCAGTAAACAGTGTTTGCCTTGTAGGTCTGGAAAGGATAGGAAGTTGGTTTTTTTTAAATAGATTTAGTTAGGTCATATATGAGTATGTAAGCTTTCAAGTTTCACAGAAGTCTTATGAGACAGAATGGAAGGCAGAAGACTCTCTGGTCTATCTAGAGCAAGCTGTTGTAATCACACTGTGCAAATGGCTGTAAAAAATCTGGACTGTTCATATTTGAGTAGTAACAGAATGGAATCTTTTTGCATTATGGGTAATGGTCTACTTGTAAAGTCAGGTTACAGGTAGTTGAAATTATTTGCAGTTTACCAAATATCCAGCAATTTCTCTTACGTTTTTAAAGACAGTTGTAGTGGCAGATCTTTGATGTCGATTTAAAACAATGTATTGTAGAAATGTTATAATAATAATAATAGAAATGTTATAATAATAATAATAATAATAATAATATTGTGTTTAGTGTTGTCAACCTCTCAGAGAGCTTCAGATATTGGCTGTATAGAAATAATAATAAATAAGCAAATTATTATTTGGAATAGTCGTGAAACAAATACACTCTAATTTGTCAAATTATTACCCACAAGAATTATGTCCTCTCCTGTGTGAGTTTCCCTCCTAATGCTGATCAAGTGTGAATCATGCCCCATGTGCCACTGTGCTGCTTCCTTCAGAGGTTAGCTTGCTGGCCACACAGCCTTTCCTAACCTGGTGATCACGAGGTGTGTTAGTCTGTAACTTCTAATATCTGCATTTGCTCAGTCTTACCATGGCTGAAGTAGACTTGTCAAGGCCACTGAGACCCCAGAACATTGGTTAAAACCGTTTTATTCTTCCAGGCCTTTAAAACAAGTTGAATGTTCTATTGTTCTACTGGTTCAACATTTTAGTATCGGTTTTCTGTATGTGTGAACAATATATTTTTCAGAGTTACCTTGAGTATACCATGTAAATTAAAAGCAAGCCATTTTTAGGTACACAAATTATAGGAGCCAAAGAATCAGTTCAGCCAGTCAAATGCCTTCCAGCTACTAGTTGTGGCTTCATGCTGCATCTGAGAAAATAAACACATGCTCATTCATTATGTGTAATGAATGATACATGGGATTTATCTGGGATTCTCCCAACACAAACAAGGCCACAGTTTAGAAATTCATCTTATATGGTACAGTCTAAATATACCTGTGCTGTGACATCAAGAATCTCTGGATGTTTCAAGTATGCACTGAAAACAGACTTAACCCCATGTGATTACCAGATTCATCGGTCCATGCTTTGTTCTTCTCAATGTGTTCTCGATCACTGAATGAAATTCAGCAAAACCAATCTTAGGAAACCTTGGGATTATAGCAAATTCCACTATTTCACAGCATTGCTGGGAATATTGAACAGCTTCTGCATGTTGTCAGACCTTGATCTACCAGAGGTTACCATGATGCTATTAACATATTTCCATTTTATCTTTGATTGTTTACTGTGAAGCTGGAAAGACGGCCTTGGTCTTTGTGCGCTTATCCATAGACATCGACCTGATCTTATTGACTACTCCAAACTATCTAAGGTCATCTGTCTGGGTGACACAGTGTGGTATTTGCAGTGATTTGGCTCACTTCCTATGTGCTTAGCATGTCTCTTTAACAGCAATCTGGGGTGTGCTTAGTAACTTGAGGTGGCCTTCTTTTCTGGCTCTTGCCCAACAGATGCAAAAGACCCAATAGTACACCAATTGTGTGTTGTGAAGGAGGCTAAAGCATGTCTTGAAAGCCCAGTGCACAACCTGTTCTCCCTTGCATGCATGTACGGACACACACCACTGCCTCCTGCATATGGGCATTGTCATCCCTAAAAAAGGAGTGATAGGAGACACATTTCCTAATACAGCTCAAAGTATTTTAAAATGCTGGCTGAGAGCATATGACAGCTATATTGTCAATAGTTGCAGTAAGCAGTAACACCGTATGTAGCAGCACTGCATGCAACTGATGCTTGCTTTTCTTGTTTCTCTGTCAGTGTCCTCAAACATTATTGTGAAGTGTTTTGCTGTGACTTTTTGTGTTTGTTTGTTTAGTTAGCTGGCTTTGCTTCCTGCATGCTTTCTCTTGCCTTTGCATTGCAGTGAGAAGAAAGGCCTTGCTGTCAAAGCTTTTCTACACAGCAAAGTGTGATCTTTCTTGTAACTTTTTAACTGTAGCAGGTCTACAGTTCTGTAGATTTCTATAAAGATTAGTGAGTATGGCAGATCTGCAGGTAACACTGAGGATTTAATAAGCAAAGCTTCAAGTAACTGACAATCCAATCCAGAGCCTAGTGAAAATGAAGATTTACAGTCTGATCCATACATGCTTATTCAGAAATTCCACTGCCTTCAGTAGAATGTTTGCTTATATACAGTGGTGAAAAGGTAAATTTGAAGCAGAGATAGTGTTATTACAGGTATGCCTTTAAGAAGAGTCCAAAATTCCAGGCAGCTGTGTCAATCCATATAAACAAACCATTTCTATAAGTTTTTATTGCCACCAGAAACAGTTTTTGCCACTGTAAAACTAATGGGTCTTAATTGCGCATTTGAAACCAAGCCACCCTACAGTCAATGAAATATTGTTGCTAGAAAAATTCATTTCTCCACCAGCTACTGCAGGGATGGCAGCTAAGCTCAAAGGGAACAGGAAAGCCTGAGTGGGGTGGCAGGTGAAGTCACCATCACTGTGAATACATCCAGTTGCTATATCCCTGTATCTGCCTTCAGTCGATGCTGAACTACACTGCTCTTGTGTGTGCATATGCGTGCGCATGTGCACACATGCTTGTGAAAATGTATATGATACTTTTTCACCCAGAGTGTTCTCAAAATGGTGAGCAACCTAAATACAAGTGAATACTTTACAGGATTGTAGCCTTTGCATTTAAGTTAATTTGGTTCCACTGAATTCATTGGTAATAGAAACAAGTTTAATAGTCTAGGAAGCACTGGATTACATGGGGCCAGTTTTGCATCATGTATCTGTTGTGGGCCTTTTCTTTGCTGTTCAGTGAAGGTTGATCTGGGGTGCTTCCAAACAGAGGAGTCCTAGCACTCCCATCAGAAGGTGCTATGCACCTAGTCCATCTTTTCTTCTTTATGAGCAAAAAAGACAGAAAAAGGAGTGGGAAAGTACAGGACAGTTATAAGTTGATAATGCTACTGTCTGGAAACCTCCCAGTAAAAATCTGTGAATGGGACAGAGAATAATAAAAGCCTCATCTGGAAGCACCTTAGAATGTGGTGAGGCCATCACAGCCTTTGTCTTAGTCATATGCCTAGTATTTGTGATTCTACCTCCGTGTAGAAACAACCTTACATAGCACACAAATCTTGTGGCATAAATCTTAATAGTACTCAGAGTATCATTCTAATTAATGTACTAAGTCAACCAAGAGATGGAGTTTCCACAGCTGGATGCTAGGCAGCTGCTCCAGAGGGGTCCGCCAGCTGCTGCCTCATTGCAGCAGATGCTGCAGTGGGGAGGGTGGCCTGAAGGGCTCTCTGGAGCACTACTGGGGTTCTCCTGGCAGGGGCAGAGGGGAGGAGCACAATTTGCCACTCCTATTCCACAGTCAGAAGCACAGGCTTCTTCCTGCCTCACAGGATGCTGGCCCTGCTGGGAGTTACAGGGCAGCACACCTGGTGTCACTAGCTTAGGGAAGACTGCATTAAGGCTCCAATCCTATTCACTCACTTGGGAACAAGTCCTGGTGACCACAGTGGGAGACTCTTCTGGGACAGATGGTTAGGCTGCAATGCTATAAATACTTACCCTGGAGGAAGACCCATTGAACTCAGTGAGGCTTGCTTTTGAGTATGCAGAGTAATTTTGCAAGTAAGGTTATTTGGGATTAACCTTAAAATTACAATTCTGAAAGGGTTTTAATTGAAAATAATTTATTTTTATTTTGAAAATATGCTTCCCTTTGATAAAGACTCTAAAATATACTATTCTTTGGTTCTGAAAAATGCTTCATTTATGTACTGCAACAATCCTGCGTAAATTATGTTGGTGATTGATTCTAATTTCTGATTTTTGTGCAGGATGACCCAATGGGAAATATAAACCTTGCCATGGAAATTGCTGAAAAATATTTGGATATCCCAAAGATGCTGGATGCAGAAGGTGGGAGCTAGGGGGATTTATTTAAATAAGCCATGGGCTGAACACAGAGCAATCTTTCATCACCTTCTTCTTCCTTGTGTAATGACAAGAAGGACCTCTTTCATATAGTTGTTTATTAAACAAAATATCATTGTGATTCCTTCCATCTCCTGAAATATGCAAAATATATATCAAGACCTACCTCTCAGGCTGTGAATGGTTGCCCTGGGCCCACATGTCTCAAGGGTTCTCCTCTCTCAGCACATGTAACCAAGTCGTGCCTCTTAGGCCTAAACTAGATATAATGCTAAACATATCAGTAGGAACCCTGTTAGGGTTGGTTGGTTCCACTGAAACTGGAGTACATTTGTTTTGGGTGTTTAAAGACACAAAATTTGACTCTGCTGACTCATGAGAAAAACAGCCAAATTTACAGTTGGAAAATAACTTTATTAAAATTTCACAAAAAATGCAAGCTTGTGAGTTCTCCAGAACTCTTCATGAGGCAAGGCTGTTAGGCAACAAACCAAACCAAACCAAACCAAACCAGGGGATGGTGGGGAGTTGGGGAGGCAAGAAACCTCCAAGATTAGGTTTGGCCATGAGGTCTGCAGCATAGATAGACTCAATCTCAAAATGCAGGTTTGCAGTCTGAATGAATTACTTAGTGGCAGATGATGCAAGTATCAGATGAGACTTAGTGATGTGTTTTGGGAAAATGAAGCAATGGCCATGGGTAATATTACTATGAATGGGGCCAAGGTAGATGTGATGTGAAATGCACTACTAAGAACTGTGTCAGGTCTTGATCTTAATAGCAGCTACAGGGCAATTTTCATCAAGACCAT